GATCCTCCGTTAGGTTCATGGGGCAGGCCACTTCGGGAACGCCAAGACAGTGCAGCGGCTGCGGTTCTACTTGGCGGGGTTTCGTCAGGATGCAGAGCTGCACGTCCACTGCTGCAATGTCTGCATGGCACAGAAGGGACCCAGTCAACGCTCTCAGGTGCTGTTGCAGCAGTACCTAGTCGGGGCGCCCCATAGAGAAGATCTTGGGCCAGGGGACAGAGTGTGGGTGTTTTGTTGTTTGCGGGCTTTCTTGTGCATCATCTTTAGAAGAGGCTTCCTTCTGGGACGACAGCCATGCAGACCAATTTGATGCAGTGTGCGGCGTATGGTCTGAGCACTGACTGGCTGACCCCCCACCCCTTCAACCTCTGCAGCAATGCTGGGAGCACTCATACGTCTATTTCCCAAACACAACCTCTGGATATGACGCTGAGCACCCAATAAGCCTGCAGCACTAGTAGGTGTCCTCGATTAGAAGCGGTGCGGCCCAGATCGATCAGTGTTTGACATCCACGAGAGCGATGCGAAAACGTACCATACATATATCACACAATATATATCACACGAATATCACGAACAGAAACACTGAATGACCAACAATGTCCCGAGCACTAAGTTGTGTTAATATACCATATTTTAGTTCAAACTACTAAAGTTCTATCATATAAATGCTTGATTGACTGTTGTTAAAAAGTGTACTTGTTACACCCTAGAGACAGATCCCCTGTGAAGACCTCGTCGACTATCGGCACAAGACCACGAGAACCAGACGATCAATCTGAGGTGCATTGCAGCCTGGAATTAAACCACACCGTGCTGGTTTCGTCTGGCCCGAGGAGAACTGGCCCCCCGACTGAGCCTGGTTTCTCCCAAGGTTTTTTTCTCCATTTCTGTCACCGATGGAGTTTTGGTTCCTTGCCACTGTCGCCTTTGGTTTGCTTAGTTGGGGACACAATTTCTGGCAAAACTGTTGACTGCACAGACACTATTGGAAGAGAACTGAACTGAGCTGGACACTGAATCAACAATGAACTGACTTTAACTGATAAACAGACTGTTTTCTTTTGTCCTCTTGCATTATCAGCACATGTTTTTCCTGTTTAACACTGTAAAGCTGCTTTGACACAATCTGTATTGTATAAAGCGCTATATAAATAAAGGTGACTTGACTTGACATGCATAACAGTCACAGACAGAGGGAACTTAGTAAATTAAAATCTGTAAATAAAACAATATAATCAATGAACATTACTAGACATAAAAAATGCCTTGGCTATTTTACCAGCAGTCTGATATTGGAACTGAGAATCATGAAATTTCACTGGTATTAGCATGGACTGAATTTTGATAACTTGAAGATTGAAATTCCACAACTGAACATTTCTGATCATAAAGGTTTAAAGCAGAATCCAAAAACAAATTCAGATGCCAGTTCATTTATGATGAGTTTACTCCTACTATAGTTTTATGTTTATGTACACTACTTAAATATACCTTCATGTGTTACTACCTCTTTCTGATACAGCAGGGGTCTCCAAACTGTGTCCTACTTACCCCTTGTCCAAATACCCACACTTGCAGTCTTGGCCACTTGAGAGCGCATGCGCGTGACAGGAAGTAAGTGCGCAAGACTGTCCGAGGTCTTAAAGGGGTCCTATTATGCTCTTTTACAATGCCTTGAATTTGTTTTGGGGGTGTACTAGAACAGTGTTTCCCAACCTTTTTTTTGTCGCGGCACCCTTTGGAAATTTTAACAAACTTGTGGCACAAATCCACACTATATCGAATACTGCTCTGGAGCAGTATTCAAGGCTTTATGTATCCCATCATGCATCATGTTGTGGAAATAAATCGTGAGACTTTTTGCCGAGATCTAAGCTCTGTAAACACTTGCATTTTTGCAACACTATAAGTGTGTCCCATCAGGTAACGAAAAGTTCTACCCACACTTGTGGTCATCATGCGTACGCACTTGAACACTTGGACCAAATACAGGAAATACGTAATTTAAGTAGGAAAGTGGTCAAGCGCAAAGACAGCAAGTGCGGGTATTTGGACAAGGCAAGAGTTTAGCTCCAACCCTAATTAAACACACCTGAATCAGCTAATCAAGCTCTTACTAGGCATACTAGAAACTTCCAGGCAGGTGTGTTCAGGCAAGTTGGAGCTAAACTCTGCAGGATACCGGCCGTCCAGGACTGACTTTGGAGACCCCTGTGATACAACCAGTGTTCAGCTGGTGATCTCAACATGGCAGGCATAATGAGGAAGGAACAACCTTATTAAGAATAAATAAGGTTTTGCTCTATGACTTATGACTGAAGAGTGCACAAACTAATAAACAAATACTCAAACAATAAGTGCTATTCATACTTTGCTAACTTTTGTGGGTGAAAAAACACATGTAAAAGGCCTGCATGATAAAATGTGTGTGTGTGTTTGAGGAGAGGAAAAGGGCAGTACTGCTTGATCTCACACACTTTGTCACCATCAGTACTGAATTACAGGCTTTGTTTATTATTTATATTCATTAATCATTCAGTGCTCCTCCAGCTGCTCTTTTTTTCTACACTGTATTTCAGAGTGCCATGGTAAATAACACACGATGCAATAGTAAAGCCACTTTCATGTAAGGGTGATAGTGAAGCACACCACTGTTTAAAGCAGATGAATATTTATTAACAAACATGAGGACTCTCTTACCTGACAGCCCTTCTTATGGTGAAATCCCACCACCACGATGTGCAGCACGGGTTCCTCTTTACACTGAGACTCCATCTGCTGAATTATAATTAGATCAGAGTCCAAAAGAGAAGGGGAAAAAACAGTAAATTAAGCGTTTAATGTGTAGAGTCTATAACTTCCGCACCCTTGACCGTCAGTGTGTATGTCACGCGATGCTCCGCCTCCAGCACAAATAAACATCCCGGACGAAATGCAGACATATTCCTGGCTGCCGACAGAGGGCGCGCTATGGCTCGCAAAAATCACTTCTCCATCCATCATCCATGTGCCGGTTTAATTTTTAATTTTAGTTGATTTTAATTATAGCATTATTCTATTAATCCATTAATTTTCCTTATAATTTCTAAAACATCAGTCCTTCATAGGTATTTTATAGATAGTAAATTGTATTTTATTGATATTTTAAGAGTAAGTAGGTGACACAAAATAAAACATATTTAACTAGATTCACCTTATGAACAGGAACTAAGGTTTTCAGCATCACCAACTGTACAGTATAACACTAACAGTGAAAAGCATTAAAACATGAATGTGCAGGCAGGTCAAAATTACTGGCAAAATTATATTCCCTTTTATTTTTTGAAAACAAAACTTCATGTAAATACGATTTTGTTCATTTTTAAAATTGATTATCTGTGAAGCAAACTGGGTGAGATCATTTCAAAGTCACAAATACATGTAAGAAAAGTCACTTGTTCTAATCTAGGCAATTTGTGCTTGGGTCTTCCTTTACACCCGCTTGCTTGCACCACCGGCTGGTGAGCCGGCTAACAGCAGATGGAGATTATGCATTATGTACTCTACTGCTATTCCTGTAGTTCCCGGATGTGAAATATTTAATATGCTGCTGAATTTGAACCACAGGGTGCTTCTCAAACAAAGGCTGCATCCTACCGATGCGTCCTTCCTAGCTCAGTCCTTCAGAGGCTTGTTGGCTAGAGTCCTCCTCGGCATTAAACGCTAGAATGAGACAGTCTGTAAGTGCGCGTGGCTACGTCACATATGTTCCCGCCCTCAACGCCACGGCACGAAAATACTAGGTGCGTTCGACAAACGGCTTGCCATATGCGCCAGCTGAGTCAGCCGGCTGCTCTCGAAACGCTATCGCGGTAATTTGATGCCACACGTGACAGTGACGTGGCGTCGCGCCGGTGTTCTGAAATATTCGAGCTGTGTCCGAAATCGCTCACTCGTTCACTCATTCAATCCCTATATAGTGTATGACAGTTGAGTGGACTAAATCAGAAAGGAGTGAACGAAATAAGTGAACGGATTCGGACGGTGACGAATACACTGCACGTGAGACTGGGAGCTGTAGCAAAAACATGTTCGTTACATATATTACATGTAAATAATATTAATAGCAATAACACTCAAAATTACTTTTTTTGTAATTATACATACCTCCGTGTCAGCTTTGTGGTTTCATTGATGGTATTTGTTTTGTAATGCTTTTATGTTCATAATCATACTGTTAAAATACTGAGAACAAAAATAAACACACATTAACACATATTCATAATTTTATGTATTTATTATTTTTTGTATCTTGAAACTCTCCCGAGCAGCGTTTTGAGCTCAGATAAGATAATGGTCGTAATGCGCCCTCAGGCGACCGTTAATTTTACATCAGAATGAATTCAATTCAATTCAAGTTTATTTGTACAGCGCTTTACGATACAAATCATTGCAAAGCAACTTTACAGCAAATTAAGTTTCTACAATATTTAGTGGTAGCTTATCAGTGGTGACTGTCAGTCAATGTACATATGGCAGAAATGTACGGAAAAATCAATTAAAGACGTAATCAAACAGACGATGAACACTACGTTGCTGTCTACGTGCTCCCGACATTGTAGCAACGTTGAATTGTAAAACGCGAAAGGGCTGTAGCAACGTTGTTGCGCGACATTCAGCAACTGCGAGACGACGTTCCGACCACATTTATTTTTATGCCAGATTATAAATATTACCTTTTCTGCGTCTTATTTATTTATTTATTTATTGTGGTGAATCTCTTAATAATCACACACAAGATAAATATGTAATACTTTTTCAAATACTGTTAATCATTAATTGTTCTTTTTAACGTAAAACCTGCTATGAAACTTTAAAGAGGAAAAATGCCATACAAGTTCATATAATCCAACTTTATTAAAACATTGCATACATATAATTACACTACCAAAACATACATTTAAAAAAAAAAAAAGTACGTTATATTAATTATATTTAGCTCAAATATAATGGACTACAAATAAAAAAGCTTTAAAAAAGGCATTTGAGAACTTTTGCTGAACAAAAGAAAAGCAGCTGAGACAGTCAGCAGGTCACCGGCTGATGAGGCGGACTCGGGACTGGAGAACACGGCGGACAGGGGAGCGCAGACGGGAAGGTCGGACTCGGTAGACATCAACAGTCCAATAAAGATAAACAAATCCAGAGGCAAAGGCAAGCGCAGAAACCAGTCGGCAGGCACAAGTCAAAACCAGGCAGACAGTCCGGGGACAGAGAATGATGTGCAGCAGGCACAGGTAAAACTGGGCAGAGAACAAGACGGAGCAAAATCAAATAGCAAGCCATTCATATAGGAGGACACAAATAGGATCTTAATACGACAAGACAGGACACATGTATGAGCAGACAGTACAAAATAATCTCTCAACGAAACAAAGTACACTATAGCAGAAAAATTAAAGGAAAGAAACATAATCAAGCCGCAATCAGCTGAGCGCAGCCAATAGAAAAAAGAGCAACAGTTAGATAAAAGTATCAGTCTTTTGATACTTTTATTTTAAACAGTTAAATTGTTATTTTAAACATCTATCAAATCTTAAGTAAATTTTGTACGAGTTATTTTTTATTTTATTTTAAGGTCCTTATTATAACAGGATAGTACAGATATGAAAGAAAAATATAGTGAGAAAAGTGTAGGGTGACATAAGCCAGGTTTGAGCTCCAGTCATACCTACAGGAATTCTAGGCTACTTGTACTACCCATAAGGCTGAGTCTCTGAATACTTACTTAAAATTATGAGAAGAGGTCCAATGAACCATCTTGTAAATGTGGGGCAACTGATCGCTGTAAAATTAAATGTCAAACTTAGTGTCATGTCAATATCAGCTGTACAGAACATTAAAGCAATATTAAAAATCTCACACTTGGTTTTTAGTTTGGATTAATTTAGTGTATATTAAAAACATTGATTTGCACTTAACTGTAGCCTTGAGACTTTGAGGGAAGAAAAAAAAAGTACTTAACCAGGGCTGGACAATAATAATAAAATACCCGTCTTGGAGCGTATCCTCCAAAACAGTCAGCTATCTCATATTTGAAAGTAAAAAGTTGAGAAAAATCTTATATGTTTCAATATATTGGATGCATGCACATCTAAAGTGACCTCACTGCTGTCAGTGTACTTAATGTTAATAAAAAAAATAAATAAAAAAAAACACTCATTGCTCTTGACTGATTAACTTTTGTAGCATTAACAATGATTCATCTATATTTAATTTATACAGTGAGGAATATGCAATATTATTACATTTGTTTATTCAATTTCTGTACCTGATCACCTACAAACTGTTCTATTTATTTATTGTGCTATTGTTTGTAATTTGTTCATTTGTTTCCCTTATATTTAACTAATCAAAATTTTTGCCATAAATTTATTTATGAGAATACAAGATAAGGATCAAAACAACAATAAAAACAGCTATTTTATTTTTGTGGCAGGGCCAGTGAAAATGTTGGCTGGGCAAGAAAAAAGTATAATATATTATACATACATATTGTCAGTAATATAATACATTGTCAAAATACTCACATTAGCCTTTCTCCTAACCAGACCTGGTGCATGTTTAAGGGTCTCTGCAATCTGGCTTTCAGCATCCATGCTAGTAGACCCAGGTTGTGATTTCATTATTGCCCCTAAATGGTTTAAGTAAAGTTTTTAGAGATGAACAAGTATACTTTACATTTGAACAAACAGGTATTCATCCCATTTGTATTGCCAATAATGTAGAATTCTGTCACTATAATGCAAATCAAAGATAATTGAAAATACAATAGAATATACAATAAAATAAATGCAAATACTGTTGATTTTTTTATACTTATTAGAACTCGATAAACAGAGAGTTCTTCAAGTCTCCTCTTCCCCTTCCTTCCTTTGAGGCTAAACTGTGACCAAACTTCTGAGGAAGTGATTTTTCTCATGATTCGCCGCACTGTCTCTCCATAGTTTGGTTCCAATTGTAGAAAGGTATTTAACCTGAATTTAATTTAAATGGAATTGTCAAATCCTATGCATACACACAGAACAGTTCAGCTGCAAATAAGAATGTCAAATTCTAA